TAGCGGTTGTAATTACATCAGCAGATTCGGCACATTCGCGATAGAAAAGTGGCGCTTTCACGTTATGGTATTACAACTGTGAAATTACAAACAAATAATACACATTCTGAGACATGAACTGAAATGAATTGTGAATTTTATTTAACATTAAATCGTCCTCCTCCCATTTTCACCTCAAAATTATGGGGAAGCTGTGCCTCCCCTGCCTCCCCCGACGAGCCGCCACTGACTCTGAGTAAGCTTTAGCTGATGTCAGTGTCAACAGAAGTGCACTGAAAGATGGGTTTACATGTGTGTATCGGAATAGGGAATATCTGGTCAGGCTCGTTTGCTTTTAAAAGTTCTGGTCTGTTCACCATAAGACGAATGTGGCTTAGTTTGTTGCAGTTGTTATTGTTTCTTACAGAATTATGTTTTTGTAGTGGGGGAAGCCCCCTATCACTTCACTATGAATTTATTTGATCAAATAAATGCAGGCATGGTGAGCATAATAGACTTATTTCAATCTATATTAGTCATACATGGTATATTAGTTGGTTATTTTTCAAGTTTATTAGTTATAGTGAAGGGTGGAAAGGAGGCCTAATATAATAAATTCTATTTTATTATATCTAACTGATTCGGTTGAAAGTGGAGCGGAAAAAATGGTGATTTAGGGGCCAGGGTTAATCACCTCTTTAACGTTAGAATGGTATGGTGCAATGCAAGACCTGATTAATTCTCACCTGTCCCACCTAACTAGCCATCTGTGAAGGGTGTGTTTGAATGTGAGTGTGACCCTATGGAGAAAAGATTAGCGCTTCCATCCTGTAGGATGAGGCATGACGTAATGTGTGCAGTGATGTGTGTATCATGTGGATAAGGCATTGTGTACTTTGTGTGGTGGTATGATGATGATGATGATGATGATGAGGCTAGGTGTATCTATGACGTGAAAAGCTTATTTGTCATATTTATGATCACAATTGTCTGCACCATATTGTTGGAATTTTTACTGTTAGATTTGATTGTCACTGATATTTTTAGTTTTATTAGAATTTGTGGTTTTATTTTTCTGAACAACAGCAGATCTGATTTACAAGGGATTTTTGTAACTTTAATGTCTTAAGCCCCGTTCACACCAAGAACGATAACTATAAAGATAACGATATTAGCGTCCACACCAGCGAACGATATCGTCTGTTTATTCTAAGCGCACGCGTTTCTGCCTCTTTAAATTCTTGAGCTCGTTACAGCAGGATGGATTCTGATTGGCTGTCAATTTTTTATCATTTATCAGCTGGAGAAAAGTTTTGAAAGTGATTCCAACGATATCGTTTCTCTTTGTCTTTTTTGTTATAGCTAGGACTGTGCTATTCTTTAATATTGAGAACGATTTTTAGAACTATACCTTTATCGTTATCTTTATAGTTATCGTTCTTGGTGTGAACGGGGCTTTATTCTAGTACACTATCTCTGATTTTTTATTTTATTTTATATTTTATTGAAAGTATTTAGTGCTTTGTTTTTGTTAGTATTTATTTTATTGATTTAGGTTTTTGAACAACAGCAGGTCTGACTTTACGGAACTTTAGTGTATAATTTTTAGACTTAAACCAGAAATATTTCCGAATGTCAATTTTGATTCCACAACTAATATACTTTTGAATTGAGCACACATTTTAATTATTGATATATTTATTTCTATGTAAATATTGCATGTTTTTCAAATAGTTACTCAAGTAAAATATCGGTAATAACGATCAAATTAAATAAAAGTAGTTTACACATTATTAACATTAAAAATATACTAAATTTTTCCTAACTAAAATACTTTTTCATAATTAAAAAAGTAAGCCTTTTTACCTTTAAAGAAAGGAATAGTGCTTGTAAAAATAAACAAAATAATAAAAATAAAATGTACAAAATTAATGTACACTCGCATAACATGAAGGCTTGAAAGTTTCTATTTACACAAAGCAGGTCACCTCATGGTGGCTGCTATGTTGGGATCACATGACCAGTCAGATGCTACTTGCTGCAACTCCGTATTTCCCAGGTTCATATCTCAAATAAGGCCATGAATCAAATATACAGTAATTCAAACAAATTCATAACAAATGCTGACACAAATTGAACACGGATGAATTTCATCTCATCAAATATGATCATGAGGATCACGTTTTTCTGAACGGTTCCTGTTCTTCTGTACTAGACTCTGAGACACAGGAAGAAGATCCCAGAAAGGACCACAGAAGAAGAAGAAGAAACTTCGGCCATCAATAAGTGCAGCAAAGTCAACGAAGAAACGGTATGCAAAAGTGAAATACAAACTGATGTTACAGGCATATTCCTGATTAAAATACAAGCTGTAAGTTAAGTCACAAAAAATGCTTTTTTAAAACAAATACAATTATGGCAATAATGCACAATCATTCAAAGACTGCACTATAGACTTCCATTTTAAGTGCATTTCTGTGCATGTTTCTTTGGCACAAATAAGGATGAGACAGGATGTTAGATTAGCCATCTAGCTGATTAGTGAGGTCAACTAGTTTATCTAGAATTTTTCTCTCTTTAGTTGTAGCTTGGTTAATATTTTGCACTGTAGTGCTACGCGTCCTGTGTGAACGGCCCATGGGAAACACATCTGATCGATGTGTGGTGGACATGACGCTAAACCAGTCTAAATGTATATTACTTCCTGAAGACATTACGAAAACATAGTTTTACACATTCATAGGCTTAAAATTACTTTCTGTGGTAATCAACAGATGCTGGCGATTGAGCTGAACTTGCATTTAACCCAGAACAGTCATTTAATCGCTGTATCACACATTTGTTTGCTTGTCATCTGGAAGTGAAGCTTTAGTTCATATGACAGGAAACCACAAGTAACCATTCCTCTTTTTGCTTGAAGCGACAGTGAAACACAAGCAGAGCAGGTGACTTTCTGTTACTCTGTCTTTCTTGTACATTGATTATCATTTAAGACTTATTTCTTTAAAACTTCCTTTTTTCTTGTGGTTGAACGATGCCACAATCTGGATAAAGCCAAAATATTTTTGTGCTTCACTGACAATGAAAAGATATGTGAAAAATGCTTGTGTATACACTTCTCTCACTCTGTGTGTGTGTGTGTGTGTGTGTGAATGTCCCGTGTGTGTCCTCTATCAGAGGCATACAGGTCTTTCACAAGCATCGATTGTTTTGTGAATTTGACAGACAGGGTCAACGATTTAGAGAACACTGACCCCTTTGCAGAACCGCGCTGTACCATTCATTACTACGTCTAGTAATAAATATGTGCATGCGTGTATGAAGTTGGAGAAGTATTTCCTTATTTACTAGTAATTTATAAAAGAAAAAAAGAAATTTTACTTAAGGAAAAAAAAGTTAAAATATGCATTTACATATGAGGGTGTCAGTATGAAGTTCTTAATATTAAATTTTTAATAATACATTATTACTTTATGTATATGTGTATTTAGAAATTATAATTGTAATTTTTAAAAATAATTTCTATTATTAGAACCTCCCAAAACTATTATTATATAATATTACATAATTTGTAAATTATATTTAATATTTGTTATAAAGATTTTGTGTGTATAAATATAGTTAAAATGAAAATATTATATTTTATAATAATTATATAAATTATAATAATTATTCTATTAAAAAAAAAAATTCACCTTTTGTTTTTTACAGTAAAAATATGACCCACCCAGACTTGTTCTTACTCTGTCATTCTTACTCTGTGTTACACTACAGGCCAAAACATAACCTGTGCATCAGGCTTAGGCATAACAACCAACACCGTAATTAATGCCGTAATGAAACTTGAAAGCCAGACAGGATAGGCAGTCCAGACCAGATTTCTGGGTTCATTACAGCAGGAATGTGGTCTCAATTGCTGCACTCCCATTCATTTCAGCATTGCTGTAAAGCAAAAGCCATTCATTCATCCTAACATGTCCACCTATTGATGATATGACAGACATTTTCTAGAATTAAACCTGAATACATTGTTCTGTCCTCCTCCTCCTCGTTCCACAGAACAAGTCAAGTGGGTGGTTATGGTTAAGCTGCTCTTCATATTCTGTCATGCAGTAATAACTATAAATAACACTGAATAAATCAGAGCTATTATGATGAAGCTTTTATTTTGTTTTAAATTGGCCCCCTAGATCAGTGTTTCCCAACCTTTTTTCAGTCGCGGCACCCTTTGGAAATTTTAACGAACTTGTGGCACCCTACAAAATTAATTTTGTCACAATATTTGAATTTCTAACTTCGATATGATAATTTGAAAAGTATAGATATTCGGTACAACAGGGAAGAACTGCAGAATATAATGTCATACAGATATTTTGAATATTATTAAAACTTTTTGTCCATCAATGGTGGCAATCAGTAGGCTAATTTCTAATGAAGAGAACAATTTATATGACAGATTTTAATGTAGGCTTTTATACATATGTAAACATCATTTAATTACCATTATAACTAGCTATCTCACAAATTTTTGCTCACTCAGTGTTTTTTTTATTTTACAGTGGGGTAATTTTGGTGCAGTAGCAAGAGATAGCTTGATTTCAAAATAAGGGGTATCGCCCATCCCTAGTGCATAGGTCTTGGGTCTATACTAACTCCAGTGTGTCATCTTAGACACACCCACCACCTCTGCTTTATATTGTTATAGTGGCCCCTAGTGGAGAACGTAGGAAAAGCATCTGGTCAAAGTTTTCACCATAAACAAGGAACAGTCAAATGATTCAGCAAACTAACATCATTGATAGCCAACATTCCTGGTGCGCAGTACTTCCTGAACTCTGTTAACTTTTACATAATGGCAGGAAAATGAACGGAATATTTAATAAGATGGCAATAAATGGTTATGTTAGTCATCTGGTTAACTTACATGACCTTGTTAGTATGAAGTGAATTTTAATATTAATAATTTTGTCATATTGAATTATGATGAATACATTAAATTACTACAGAATTATTTTATAACAGGATGGATTGTTTTAGACACAAACCAACTAATAACACAAAACATCACTGATTATTACAAATGACTAACATGTTCACTAAATAATTCCTATTTTACCTCTGAAATAAAATAATATAAATATTAGATGAAAAACTTAAATGAAATTAAATGTTGCCTTGGCAACTAACTGAAATAAGTAAGTTGAAGTACTAAAATTACTACAAATAAAACTGGAATAAAAATAAAGCTAAATAGAATATATATATATATATATAAACGAATATAAATAACCCTGCTCTCGACAGACGTTCTGTATCTTGTGATCAGCTGGCACATTTGGCATGGTCCTACATCGTGACTCTGGAGAGGTGTTAATATGCGCATGATTGCCAACATGTCAGCCTGCTGTTTCAAAATTACACGCACAGAGCCATGCATAGATAGGCGTCTGTTGCTTCAGGTTAAGTCCACCTTGAGTTCAAGGCCTCTGCTTCCTTTGAATCTTGGTGAGGTGCATAGTAGGGATGGGCGTATCGATCCGAAGTATCGATATATCGATACTGACGCGAGTATCGAAAGTATCGATACTCAAACAAAAATATCGATACTAAGGTGCGTTTTATTTACCAGTGGTTGTGTTTATTTAACAAAAATAAAAATAATAATAATAAAACAAATTTGTTAAAGCCCTAAAACTAAAATAAAATCTTAAAATATAAAAATAATTCAAAATACTTTAATAGTATATAAATAATATTAGAATAACACTGTTATTGGTTATAAATAATATTTATGAATATTATTAATTATATTATAATAATATGTATTAATATTTATTTAATATAAAATAATATTTCAATTTTTTTCGTTGTGCATACAGGATCTGGTAGACTGGCGGAAGCCACTGGCCTGGCAGGTGGGATACCTCAGAGAGAAATATGACACGTGGGTCCATCAGCCTGTGGACAGACCGATCAGGCTGTTTGAGAATGACTTTTTCGAAGCCAACACAAAGACTTCTTGGTAAGACAAATCACATTACAGGATTTACTGCTTGTGTTTGTTTAGTTAAACATTGTACTTTAATAAGTAATAGTGTTATGCTACAGGAGTTGCTACGTTATGTGTGTGGTGGTTAATTAACAGATACTTGAACTTTGTTATGTGTGTGTTTTTGCAGGTACATGGTGCCAATTGTATGGATGCCTTTGGTGATCTATCTGTGCTGGTACTGCTATTCGTTACTGGCACAAGAGAGGACAAGACTGTTTATTACATCAGGTGTGTGAAAAGTGTGTTTTAAGACATTCTTAGTTGATTTACTTAGTCCTCAGACGTATTATTTTTACTTTACTAGTATTTATAAACTATTATAGTATTTATTCATATTTAGAATGTTTTTGAGCTTTTTTACATGTATATTTTATTTTATAGTTTGTAGTAATTTATTTGGGGGGGGCTTTCTACATAGCTTTAATTTAATATAGATTTCTGTTTTATTTTTATTTTTAAACCTAATTATTTCAGTTAGTTGCCAAGGCAAAATGTTAAGTTTTTTTCCATCTGATATTTATTTCATTTTAGTTTACCTTTATTCCAATTACCAAAAACATTTTTTATAGTTTTAGTTAACATTAACAATACTGGCAGAAACACCCTTCTGACATAAGTGACACAGTTAAATAAGTAAATGATCTCAGTGAAGGATTATGGATTGGTGGATTATTTTTTTTTTATTTTACACATTTACTTTTTAGACTACTCCATTCTGGTCCACAAGTACAGCTTTCCGTTCATCTTCATGCTTGGCATGTTCCTGTGGTCGTTCATCGAGTACTGCATCCATCGCTTCGTCTTCCACATGCGCCCGCCCGCTCACAATTATTACCTTATCACACTGCACTTCCTGTTGCACGGTCAGCACCACAAGGTGTGTGATTTTGTTCGATACTTGAGATTCATGAATAATTAATTGAGAAGTTGAATTGACATAATTCATTAGATATTGACGAACCTCAACCCAACTCTTTTCTTACCCATCAGTCTCCGTTTGACGGCTCACGTCTGGTGTTTCCTCCGAGTCTGGCCGCCATCGCCATTGGCGCTTTTTACCTGATACTCAGGCAGCTGTTGTCTGAGGGTCTGGGAACCTCCCTGTTCGTCGGGGGTCTGTGTGGATACGTGGTCTACGACATGATCCACTACTACCTGCACTACGGCTCGCCACGGAGAGGCTCCTACTTGTACGGGCTGAAAGCGTACCACGTCAAACACCACTTTGAACACCAAAGGGCAGGTGAGGACATGAGATTTGAGATGATGGGCATTAGAGCATCTCTCTACAAAATAGAAGAGCTTAAGACCAGTGCCAAGTTAAAGTAAATAAAAATGTTTACTGTAAACAATATGTATAATTTACTGTGACCTTAAAATACATTGTTGTATACAAAAAAGTCATTTAAAGTATTTTTTATTACTTTTATTATTTTTTTTAAATATATTAAATGTATACATTTAAAATAATAATAATGATAATTTACTGTGATCTTAAAATACATTGTTGAATACAAAAAAGTCATTTAAAGTATTTTTTATTACGTTTGTTTTTTAAAATATATTAAATGTATACATTTTAAATAATAATAATAATTTACTGTGACCTTAAAAAATACATTGTTGTATACAAAAAAGTCATTTGAAGAGTTTTTTTATTACTTTATTTTTTTAAATATTTTTTTTACTCTAATGCTTTACAATACCTAAGTTTGCAAAGTCAATTATAA